TTTTTTTTTTTTTTTACTTTGTCATGTATAAACTGAGAGCTGAAAAAGTATCCGCATACCAGGCTACGATATCAATATCGCGCAGAGCCAGGTCCTCCAAAGCTATTTTTTAGAGCCTCGAACGGCCTCCGCATATTTTTCGCAATGTCGGTTTCGCGGTCCGGGGAAAAAAGTGGTTCTCGAGTACAGGAAATTGGGCACGAAAATGCTGTCGGATACGCGTGGTTTAATGGTGGCTAGTTTCTTTATAGCCACCATTTCGTTTCATATCAAACACGTATAATCCCCCATCCTTTATGGGGCAGGGAGCCGACTACTTACTCGTTTCCTACGTGAAAAGTTTAAGATTCTTGGTTGGTTGTATCGGTCAACCGAGGCAACAGGAAATTAATAACAGTTATCGTGCGTGTTAACGAGGATTATCGATCGAGGAATTCGTCGAAGAGAACTAATTACACGTCACTCGTTACTCGGCCTGTAATCTTCTTGTTCTTCTTATTCTTTGGGAAGGAGGGAGGGGAGTTTATTTTTAATCCGGCTTACTTAAGGTTCTCTTAATGAATCTGCGACGTGCTTACACATATCTAATCTTCCTTTCTTCTTCTTCTTCTCACTAAGAAACAATTACATTACAAACTTCTTACAATGATGTGAGATTGTAAGAAATTCATTCTTATAATATTAATCGAGAGGTGAATAAACTTAAACAATTAGAGTCCTTTAAAAATCTGTTAAAAATAATATATATGAAAGAGTTTGTATTAAATAATTATCCAAAATTAATCTATTATTATTATTATACAATATTATATAAATTCAAACAATTTATTTAAAAAAGTATTAAAAATAATATATTAAAAAATTTGTATTAAACGTTATCTAAAATTATTATTATTATTATTATTATTATTATTATTATCCAATGTTACACAGTAATCAACAATCCGATCGTTTGCCTTTTCCTTTCAAATTTATTTCAAGGATAAAATATTCTTCGTTGCATCGTTTATCGCGATTCAAACCGAAGTGAAATCAATTCTTTTCTCCGGGAGAATATTCCTCGGAGCAAGGAAGAAACGTTGGGAAGAGCGTGATTTGTTTTCGACGAGAATCGATTCGATATCTCTGCCGTGCGATTCTTACGCTGATACACAATACACGGTCCGATCACAGCGCATATTTCCCAAGTGCCTGCAGGCTTTCGAGACACCGATAGTTGTCGACGAAAATGTTTGCCTCTCTATTCCTCTTCCTCCTTTCCTTTCTTCTTTTCCTATCTCTATCCCACTCTCTCGAAAGTCCACTTGAAATCCCTCTTTTCCTTCCTTTCCTTCTTCAACTTCTACTTTTTCCCATTTCGTTCTTCTCTCTTTCTTGTTTTTTCTTTTTCTCTTTTCTTTTTAACCAATCTCCTTTTCTTACTCAAACATCCTCCCCTTTGCCCCAATACTTTGCTGTCTACACTTTTCTTTCTTCAACTTTCTTTATCTTGCCGTTTATTGCCTCGTACTTTTGCTTCTTCTTTTCTTACGTACACGTAATACCTCCCCGCGAAATTCTAACTTCCAAACGTTGTTCAGACGCTCGACGATCCTCGAATATGGCGTCGAGGACACCTGCGCCCTCTGCTCGCGCTGCGATGGAACTACAATTCGTGCAACTTCGTGTAACATGGAATACTTGCATAAAAATTTGATTGTCTACCGGTTCATAAGTATTCATATATGTATGTATAATTTTAGTTAATTTCAAAGAGAATGGAAAAGGATCTTTTGTGATAATTTAACAACACTTTGATAGTGATTGAACAAAAAATAAATAATTTTTATTGCGAGATAATTAGTCCATCCGAACGAGTGTTCAGATATTCATTGTTCATTTACGTTCATTTCAGATTCATTTGGGTTGAAAAATTAATGGAAAATTATTACCTGGAAAATAGCAACACGCGTTGTACATCATCTAGAAGCTAACATTCTAACAGTCTGATTTTATATTCATCCTGTTATAAGTAGTAAATCGTTAGGCAGGTTGTAACATCACACGGGGCAATAAAGTTACTTTACTTGCCTATTAATTATTCGCTGCACTATAACTTAGTTCTATACACGTAACTTGTGCACCTTTACCGTTTTCTGCTTACAATTAACGAAGGATTACACGTAAGAGCAGAAATTTCATAACTTTCCGAGCTGAAAGAGCGGCGCGAATAGAATCTCAACTACCCAACAGGATATTTTCGAGGCTTCT